ATTGATGAAAGTGAGAATGTTAGGAAAAACTTTTCCAATTGAGTGGAGAAAATCAGTTTCACAAGCCTTGTCTAGCAAACTTGATTGTCACACCCGCGGCCCCACACAGGAGTTCCTCGCGGTGCCCACACAGGTATGTGACTCACTAGGTACCATTGGGCTAGCTAGCCCAATAGTACTCACCATGCTTTCCAATTGACTATAGCCCCTTGGTCTTGGGTTTAAGTGGTGGGGGAGGCGAAAGAAATCCCTTGGGGGGACAGTACCTAGTGAGTCATGTACCTGTGTGGGGCCGCGGGTGTGACATTGATAAAACTAAAATTTGGCATAAAAGGCTTGGTCATTTTCATTACATTGGCCTTAAGGAGATGAAGAGGAGATGCCTTGTTCAAAACATGCCTGAAATTGAGGAGAAAGAAGGAGTGTGTCAAATCTGTCAAATGGGCAAACTTAGTAGACAACCATTTCCAACAAGCCAAGGCTGGAAAGCTGCTGAAAAACTTCAGCTCATACACATAAATATGTGTGGTCCCATGCAAGTGTCTTCCTTAAATGGCAGTAAGTATTTCCTTCTGTTTACAGATGACTTTTCTAGGTTGTGTTGGGTGTATTTCTTGAAGCAAAAAGATGAAGTGGCAGTAATGTTCAAGAAGTTTAAGCAAATGGTGGAGAATCAAACTGGTCTAAGCTTGAAAACTGTTAGGAGTGATAATGGTGTAGAATACACCTCAAACCAGTTTAAAGAATTGTGAAAGAATTGTGTGTGGGAGCTGGAATAAAGCATCAACTGAGTAGTCCTTACACACCACATCAAAATGGTGTGAGTGAAAGGAAAAATAGGACCATAATGGAGATGGCAAGGTGTATGCTGTTTGAGAAAAAACTTCCTAAATTTTTCTTGGTAGAAGTTGTAAATACAGCAGTATATTTGTTAAATAGGCTGCCAACTAAAGCCCTTGACAACAAAACTCCATTTGAGGCTTGGTATGGAGTAAAGCCAAGCATTGACAACCTCAAAGTGTTTGAAAGTATTTGTTATGCGCACATACCAACTGGCAAGAGAAGAAAACTAGATGAGAGGGCTGAAACTTGAATACCTGTTGGGTACAACAACTTGTCTAAAACATATAGGATTTATAATCCTAAAACAAAAAACTTTCTGGTCAACCGAGATGTGAAGGTAGATGAAGGATCTCTGTGGAATTGGGAAATAAATGAAGTTGAGAAGAGTAAGATGCTGGAGTAAGAAAGAGATTTGACAGAAAACCCAGATGCTTCAGATTTCAACTCAGATTCTAAAGCAGATTCTCCAGTCAAGGGAATAAGGACTTTGGCAGAGATTTATGAGAAATGTAACATGGCTTTGATAGAGCCAACATGCTACTTTGAAGCAACCAGAGTAAAAGAGTGGAGGGCAGTAATGGAAGAGGAATTAGGCATGATTGAGAAAAATGTCACTTGGGAACTGGTGGACAGACCTGTTGGGAGGAAAGTTATTTAGGTGAAATGGATTTATAAGAAGAAATTGAATACAGATGGTTCAGTTAATAGGTATAAAGCAAGGCTTGTAGTAAAGGGTTATGCACAGCAGTTTGGGGTAGACTTTTCTGATACTTTCGCACCTGTTGCAAGGCATGACACAATCAGACTTCTACTTGCGCTTGCAGCCCAATTCAAGGGGAAAATTTCCCAACTTGATGTGAAGTCTACCCTTTTAAATGGGTGGCTTGATGAAGAAATCTTTGTAGAGCAACCTGAAGAGTATGAAGTTGAAGGACAAGAGGATAAGGTGTATCTCCTTAGAAAGGCCTTGTATGGCCTAAAATAGGCTCATATGGCCTAGTACAGTAGGATCAATGAATACCTAGTGAGTTTGGGGTTTGCAAGGAGTCCAAATGAGCATACACTATATGTTAGAGAGATTGGTGAAGATAGAACATTTGTATCTTCTTATGTATTCTGCTTCTGCTGTGGACTGAGCAATGGTGTCTTGCTTCTTGGAAAGCCAGCATATAGCTCCTGAATTCAAGAAGAAAACATAGCTTGATGTACTTCTTATATCATCAATGCATCCAGCCCAGTCACTGTCAGAGTACCTAACAAGCTGCAAATTTTCAGTCTTCTTAAACCATACACCAAGCTCAGCACTTCCCTTAATATACCTCAGCACCCTCTTGGCTGCCTTGAGATGGATTTCACTCGGGTTGTTCATGAATCTGGAGAGAATACTTCTTGCAAACATTAAGTCTAGTCTAGTGGTAGTCAAATATAGTAGGCACCCGATCAGACTTCTATACATTTTTTCATCAATCTTCACAGCCTCATCATCTTTGCTCAGCTTCAAATTTGCAACCAGAGGAGTGTCAACTGGTTTGCACCTGTCCATGTCAAACTTATGTAGAAATTCATTGGCAAATTTCCTTTAGCTAACAAATATCCCATGCTGACTTTGGTGGATCTCCATTCCAAGAAAATAAGACATTTCCCCAAGATCAGTCATTTCAAATTCATTGTGCATGGCCATCTTAAACTTCTCTAACTGAATTGAGCTGCTCCCCATGATGATTAAATCATCAACATATAATGACATTATAGTGAATTCCCCTTCCAACCTTCTCACATATAGTGTCTATTCATTTGGACTCCTTACATATCCCAAGTTAACCAAATGATAATTGATTCTACTATACCAGGCTCTAGGAGCCTGGTTTAGGCCATATAGAGCCTTCCTCAGCAAATAGACTTTGTTCTCCAGCCTTACCACTTCATATCCCTCCGGTTGCACCACATAAATTTCCTCATTGAGCCAACCATTTAGGAAACAGACTTGACCTCTAGTTGATAGATTCTCCACTCAAATTGGGCTGCCAAGGCAAGGAGAAGCCTAATTGTGTCATGCCTGGCCATGGGTGCAAATGTATTCGAGAAGTCTACTCCAAATTGTTAAGTAAACCCTTTAACAACCAACCTTGTTCTATGTTACACTGATCCATCAGGTTTTAGCTTCCTTTTGTAAATCCATTTGACTTGGATTACCTCCTAGTTGCAAGTCTATCTACCAATTCCTAGGTGCCATTCTTTTCAATCATGTTTATCTCCTCTTACATTGCATTCCTTCATACCTCTGACTTAGCAGCCTCCTTGTAGTTTGCAGGTTCAAGTAAGGCAACATTACACCTCTCATAAACTTCTGCCAGAGGCCTAGTACCACGAACTGGAAAATCATCATTAGAATCTGTCTCTTCTGGATCATCATGTCTGCCTACTGCTGTGTCTGTCAACTGCCCTCTTGAGTCTTCTTCAACCTCATTTTTCTCCCAGTTTCAGAACCCACTTTCATCTACTTTCACATCTCTAGTGATGTGAATTTTCTTGGTTGCTGGAACATAGACTCTATAAGCCTTGGACTGCTTACTATAGCCAATAAAGATCTCTATCATGGCTTTGTCATCTAGTTTGCTTCTCTTGACCACTGAAATGAGTGCATGTCATACACTGTAAAAAATTCTTAGATTTCCAACCGTAGGCATCACTCCATACCAAGCCTCATAAGGTGTTTGATTAGCTAAGACCTTGGTGTGAAGCCTATTAAGCAAATAGACCCTTGTGTTTACTACCTCTCCCCAAAAGGACTTGGGCAACTTCTTCTCAGCAACCATGCACCTAGCCATCTCCATAACAGTCATATTCTTCCTCTCACTAACTTCATTCTGCTGTGGAGTATAGGGACTGCTAAACTGATGCACAATTCCAGCCCGCCTGTAGATTATTTCAAACTCACTAGAGGTGTACTCACTCCCATTGTCACTTCTTATAGTTTTGATGCTAAGTCCAGTTTGGTTTTCAACTTGCAGCTTAAATCTTTCAAACATAGCTGCAACTTCATTTTTCAGTTTCAAAAAGTAAAGCCAGCACATCTTGGACCAGTCATTAATGAATAAAACAAAATATTTGCTTCCATTTAGTGATGGTGCCTACATAGGTCCACACACATTTGTGTGGATAAGTTGGAGCTTCTCAGTCGCTCTCCAGGCTTTGTTTACAGGGAATGGTTGTCTACTCATCTTGCCAAGCTGACAGGTAGCACATACAACCTTAGTCTCTACAATTTCTGGTAGACTGTAGACCAATTCTTTGGTTTGAATTTTCCTAAGAGCATGATAATTGAAATGGCCTAATTTTTTGTGCCATAATACTGACTCATTTACATCAGCAGTATAGGCTTTAGGTTCTGGTTTTTTCAACCTAATAGGGAAGCTTTTTCCCATCATTCTAACCCTTATTAACTCACTACCTTCATTGTCCAGGATTGTGCAGGACTGATCCTGGAAATGTAGGACATAATTCATTTCTAACATTTGTCCTACACTAAGCAAATTATGACTTATATCAAGTACATACAAAACATTAGGAATTAGTTTGATACCTAACCTTATTTGCACAACAACATCTCTTCTCCCTTTGATAGCTACAAACTCCCCATTTCTAACTTTAACTTTGGAATGGTATGACTTGTCCAAGTTTACAAAATCGTCTAAGTTTGCTGTCATATGATTAGTGCAACCATTGTCTATCAGCCATGCATCATTATAAACCTAAACTGCACAGCATGAAGCCACAAATAATTGCTCAGAATCTGAATTTGGCTGCTGATCCTCAACAATCTGTGCTGCCTGTGGTGGTTGGTTTGGCTTGTTCTTGCACACTTTTTCAATATGGCCATATTGCTTACATGCTTTACATTGGATATTAGGTTTGAACCAGTATCTCTTTTCAAAATGGCCCTTCTTCTTGCTGTGAGAACACAATGGAAACTCTCTCATTCCACTTGGTTTGCTCCATTGGTTGGCCATTTTCTCCTTTCCCTTCTTATCTCTGACAGGCCTTTTACTTCCTCCCTGACCAGGTCTGCCTTTAAATCCTGCCACCATTGCACCCTCACTTGAATCCTCTTGCCTCCACAATCTCCTTTGCTCTTGAGCTTGCAAAGCATGCACCAATTAAGTGAGTGTAATTTGAGACAAATCCTTAGAATCCTCAAGTGAAGAAATCTTGGATTCAAACCTCTCAGGTAGACTAACTAGAACTTTCTCCACTATCCTCTTATCTGTCATTTCCTCTCCCAACAACCTGATTTTATTCACTACATTCATCAACCTATCTACATACTCCTTTACTGATTCTGACTCTTGCATCTTCAGCATTTCAAACTCCCTCTTTAAGTTCAATACATGCATGTTTCTTGTTGTATCACTACCACCAAACTCCTCCTTGAGTTTATCCCATGCTTCCTTGGTTGTCTCATATGCCATGATTCTTGTAAACACAAGTTCAATTACAGCTGCATGGATATGTGACAAAGCTCTAGGAACCTTAGTAGCTTCCTCTTCATGAAGTTTGATCTGATTCAGAGTGGGGTTTGGCCCCAATACTGGTGGCTGTTTATTCTCTTCAACATACTGCCATAAACCTTTTCTCCCCAGAAAGGTTTTCATTTTGATAGCCCACATGTGATATTGCTCACCGTTGAAGATTGGAGGAGTAAGAGAGGTTGTGTGTTGTGCCATTGAATCAGGCTGTGTGGAGTTTGATAGGTGGTTTCACCGTGACAGAGGTTGAGAAATTGGATGAAAAGTGATGAGTGTATTAGGCCCTTAAGATCAGCTATGGCTTTGATACCAATTGTTGGTTCAGATTGTTAACCGGAGAGTGTGAAGAGAGTGTTTTGCAATGGATAGAGACGGCTTAAACTGGAAAATATGTGCATTGTTTCATTCATTGAACATGGGATACATTTATACAGAAACATCCCACTGTTCTTACCTAAAGCAAACTTGCAGTGGATTAATGTATTACATTTGAATTTTAAATAAAAACATACACCAAAACATGTCTTAATCTCAACTAAACATGTCATACAAATGTCACTCCACTGTACCAAAAATTTGCTGCATCAACTACTGCATCCTAACCAAAACAGAACAGTTGGCGCCAAAACACTTTTGAAACCTCAGCTGAATGATGTTGCATTTCCAGCAGGTTATCACCATCTTCATCAGTTGGAAGTTTTAGTTATGGTTTTCTGTCTTTACAAAAACCAAGACATATAAAATCTGCAGGTAGCCATGGATAACTTGAGATTTGTTGAATCTTATTATGCAATGTGCATATTCTGCAGAAAAAAATATTTAAAGTTTTCAGAAAAATAAAATAAAATCCGACTTGAATAGGCTTCATATGATAGAAGGAAAAGCCATTTAGAAACAACAAATTAGGTACCTGGTGCATCTACAACTTCTAATATCAGGTTTGAGATTGCATCAGAATTTATTAAATTAGTTCAAGAAAAAGATTGTTTTACAATTTTCAACCAAAATTAAATGGTTTCAATTCTTGTCATTTTTTCTAACTTGAGTTTACAAAAGCTATATATAAACTGTCTGTTATACAGTTGACATAAAATCTTGAGAAGCCACAGAACTTTGGTCCCATATTTTAGATAAAGTAAATCTCAGAGTGAAAAGTACAGTAAAGACGAATTGAATGGGGACAATGTAACAGTATCTTCAAAATATGCTTTTTTTTTTCTTCTTTACTTTATCCCTAAGAAAGTGATAACACTCCAGAAAAAGAATTTGCAGAGCAAAAGAAAAACCAACATGGGAAATCCTCATGTTTTGGCTATACCTTTTCCATCACAAGGCCATGTTAATACCTCTTATGGAGCTGTCACAAAGATTAGTGAAACATGGCATCAGAGTTACATTTGTAAACACAGATGATAATCGTAAGCGGATTGTGAATGCATTGGCGATGAAGGATGATAAAGGGAATCAGATTCATCTTGTTTCGGTTGCGCTGAGACTGGAATCTCCAGATATTATAGAGTCAACCAGAACAGCTTCTTGAAGCAGTCTCAAGGATTACGCAGAGAAAAGTTGAGGAGCTCATTGAGGAAATTAATGCGTCAGATAATGATAAAGTCACTTGTGTTCTGGCTGATCCCCTTCTTACTTGGTCCTGGAAATAGCAGAAGAGAAGAAAATCAGGCGAGCCATTGTGCTGCAGCCACACAACTGGTCTAAAGACCTAGCATCCAAAATTTGATTGATGAAGGAATTATTGATGATGATGGTAAGATAATCTGTTACTCACTCTTGCAAGTTGTGCAATAGTATTATATCAAATTTCACTAATATATCAGACTTCCTTAATCATATTTATTTAGGTTAAGTAAAATTAAACAATAGGAATTTCCCAAAAGATTTTGCAGAAATTCAAAAAATGAGAATTAGAAATTCTGTATCTTTTAAGGACTTCCAGCTGAATTATAAAGGCTTTAGTTTCCACCTAGTTCATTGAAGTCAGCTGCAAAAGTCTTTTGCCACCATTCTATTCTTTCCAAGAACCATAAGATATATTTTCTTTGGACTTAAACATGTGAACAGTTGGTAGTGCCTTGATTGATTCTGATTTTGATTTCCTTTCCAGGAACTCCAAAGAAAGAGATGTTTCAGTTGTCACCAACCATGCCTGTCATGAGCACAGCGCACATAGGATTTATCATGCTTGAGAATATTGTAAGAAACAACCCATCAATAAAATTGGCAGAGTGGGTGCTCTGCAATTTAACTCATGACCTTGAGCCTGCAGCATTTAATTTTTCTATCATATACTTCTGGTTGCAAAAATCTGCAACAAATAATCTGTATCTGACGTAGAACGTCTGGCAGATGAATTTATAGAGCGGGCTGAACATCAGAAGTCCATGCGTAAAGCCCAAAGGGCTAAAATGAACATGCCTCATTCAAACGACCATAACTTTTGATCCGGGAAGAGTTACGAGGCCTGTAAGATACCGTTGAAAAACTTATTTCGAGCCCGTCGACGAAATTTAGTTAGTCGGAGGTCATTTTCGAGGTCAAAATCTACCGTTTTGGTGTGTTTCGGGGCTGTTTTAGTTATTTGCACGTTTTTTCCTATTTTATTTCGGATTTTCTTGTTCTAATTGATTTAGTTTTTGTTTCCTTTTATTATTAGGAGTCTTATTAGGGTTAGTTGTCACCTTATATAAACTTATTTTTCGTTTTGGAGACCATTCAATGCATTATTAAGATTTTTCTTCAGATTTCACAATTTAAGTTTCTGGATTAAGACTTGTTTATTAGTTCTAAAAGTGTAGTCAAGTGTTATCCTTGTTTATTCACGTTAACTCACTGCGTCAGTATCCTCGTACTCTTTATTTTATTAGTGATGGTACAATGTTCACAAAATGAAAAAAAGAAACATCACTTAGAAGAACCCATAAAAGAAGAATACTATAATAGCAAACAATATGCAAGACACTTCACATGTTTGGACTTTGTGTCAAAGTTCATCCTTTGTCTTCATTCCTGATATTTTAAATGCTTGAATTATCATTTATCTCCATGTCTTTTTTTGCAAGTTGTAATAATAAATTCCCATGTGAAGCAGGATTTTTCTTTTAATAAACTCCTAGCTTGATTCCAAGGATCGGGCCCACGTGAAAGCCACTATGAAGCTACAAATTATTGAGTAAATGCTCCGGCAAGCTGCCCTATAACTATAATAGAGCAAAGTATTCTTGAATCTCCAGAAAAGAACCAAATGGGAAATCCACATGTTTTGGCTATACCTTTTCCAGCACAAGGCCATGTAATTCCTTTAATGGAGCTGTCTCAATGCTTAGTGAAACACGGCATTAGAATTACATTTGTAAACACAGATGATAAACATAAGCAGCTAATGGATGCATTGGCAATGAAGGATGGTGTAGGGAATCAGATTCAACTCGTTTCGGTTCCACTAGGACTACATTCTCCAGAGATTTCAGGTCAAGTAACAGAGAAACTTGTTGAAGTAGTCTCAAGGGTTATGCCGAAAAAAGTTGAGGAGCTGATGGAACAGATTAATGCATCAGATGGTGATAAAATCACCTGTGTTCTGGCAGATCCCCTTCTTAAATGGGCCATGGAAATTGCAATGGAGAAAAGAATCAAGCGAGCCGCCTTCTATTGTGCTTCAGCCACACAACTGGTCTTCAGAGCCCGCAACCAAAAGTTGATTGATGACGGAATTATTGATAATGATGGTAAGATCATCTGTCACTTACTCTTGTAAGTTAATAGCAGTATAATTTGATTTGATGCTAATAGATGAAACTTCCTTGATTATTTTCATCCAAGGGAAAATTAATGCATAACTGAATATATAAACAAACAAATGTTATATAGTTCTAGATCATATGCAGTTAGAGGAATTTCACAAGATGAACTTGGCACAGTAGATCCAGCAACATTAAATTAAGACATCACACAGGATTTGTTAATAAAGCATGTAAATACAAGATGAATATTAGTTTGGAATCAAGGGCAAAGATGTTAACAGCTGATAGAGCCATTCTTGATTGTGATTTGGTTTCCTTTCCAGGAACTCCAAAGAAAGAGATGTTTCAGTTGTCACCAACCATGCCAGCCATGAAAACAGCACACATAGCATTTGTTGGCCTTGGCAGCACGAAATTGCAGAAACTCTTCTTTCAAACTTCGGTGAGAAACAGCCAATCATTTGAATTGGCAGAATGGGTGCTTTGCAATTCAACTTATGACCTTGAGCCTGCAACATTTAAGTTTGATCCAAAAGTGTTACCTATAGGCCCACTTTTGGCAAGCAATCGATTGGGAGACACAGCAGGAAGCTTCTGGCAAGAGGACTTAACTTGTTTGAAATGGCTTGATCAACAGCAACCACAGTCAGTCATATATGTTGCATTTGGCAGTACAACTCTTCTTGACAGAACCCAGTTCCAAGAATTAGGCATGGCACTTGAACTCTCCAACAGACCATTCCTCTTGGTGGTGCGTCCTGATATTACAGATAAAATAAATGATGCCTATCAGAAAGGATTTCAAGACAGAATTGCAACTCGAGGGCATATAGTTAGTTGGGCGCCTCAACAGAAGATTTTGGCACATCCTTCCATTGCCTGCTTCATAAGTCACTGCGGATGGAACTCCACAATGGAAGGTATTAGCAATGGGGTCCCGTTCTTATGTTGGCCTTACTTCGGTGACCAGATGCACAATGAAAACTACATCTGTAACATTTGGAGGATTGGATTGGGGTTTAGGCTATATGGGTCATGAAAATAAAAAAAATTAATGTGAAGAAAATCTTAATTCTGCTAATTATCCTACTTCTGCATGGAAAAAACATAAGTATGCAGTGTTTGCAAGTGACGTTTGTGTTTAGCCGGGAAATGTATCAAATACTTGATGAACAATTACTGTTGGGTTTATAAGCTAGAGAATACAAAGGAAAGAATGCAAGAGTATTATCAGAGAAGTTTTTCAGGGACGTTTGCTAAGAGTTTTTTGTCTCAATTGTCTTGTCTTGTCTCGTTTTCATTAATCATAAACAAAGCTTATATACAGATAGACATCATCCTATACAACAGAGACACGCTAACTATGCAAAACATTAAATGCTATCCTATTTGTAGAGGTTTTTACACGCTATTATCACATAGCTATACATTCTTACTTAA